TATAATATGAAATTATTGATTATATTGTCCTTAGACGATGTTGAACAGTAAAACTATATAACCAATGTTTAGTTGCTCTGAAAAGAGACAATTTTATTTTATTACTTATTTACAAAATCTAATTTTAAAACTTTTACAAAACATTCTTTACTAATAACTATACACTAATTTTACCTGAAAAGAGAAACAACATTTAAAGCTATTGTTTCACCATTTCTTATTAATAATTATAATTACATTAAAAATCAATCTTACTTGTACATAACAATTAACCATTTTACTTTTCATATTTTTCGCTGTCATTCAATATGACAGCTTACTCCATAGATTAGCTATTTCACAAACCAAAAAGTTTACAAACTAAATGAAGTGTCACGCACTTTGTTTACATCTCCCCCCCTTCTAATTTACAAAAGTCTATTGTGTCACTCTATTACTGGAATAAGTTTTGTTATATGAAAGAGATTCGACTCTGGTTTTTTGTGACCTGTGCTAACTTTATAGATTGAATTGGATATTTTGTCTTCTATTTGATAAGGTCCTATTTTCAATTCGTCTAGTTTTTTTCGGTTTAACCGGTTTCCGTTTTCCACATACACAAAATCTCCAACTTTTAATTCATAATGTTTTCTGTTTTTATCAAATCTTTGTTTATTATAATTGTGGGATTTCATACTATTTTCTAACGCAATTTTTCGGTCTCGCAATAGATGATTATGTGTTATATTTTGCTTCAGTTCGTCTGGTAGAATGTCAACATTTTTTCCCTCCAATAAATATTTTGGAGAGAACCCTGTCACACTATGTTCAGTTTCGTTATATTTTTCAGTGCATTCGTGAGCAATAGTTGTCCAAGCAATTTTGTCCTTTTTTTCATTGATCTTGCAACGAATTTTGTTAACCAACGTTTGGTTTAACCTTTCGTTCAATCCATTTGAAAATGGTGCATTTACTGCTGTGAAAACTATAGGTATATCTTCTTTTTCTAAAAAAAATTTGAAATCCTTTGAATTTAGACCGGGATATTGGTCTGTTAGAATTAAGTTTATTTTATAATCTTGTGTTACTTTTTTGACAAGTTTTATAAAATCACTCGCAGTCTGGGTTTTGGATGTCAAAATAAAGGCGTAGCGGGTAAAGTGTTTTATAATATGAAATTATTGATTATATTGTCCTTAGACGATGTTGAACAGTAAAACTATATAACCAATGTTTAGTTGCTCTGAAAAGAGACAATTTTATTTTATTACTTATTTACAAAATCTAATTTTAAAACTTTTACAAAACATTCTTTACTAATAACTATACACTAATTTTACCTGAAAAGAGAAACAACATTTAAAGCTATTGTTTCACCATTTCTTATTAATAATTATAATTACATTAAAAATCAATCTTACTTGTACATAACAATTAACCATTTTACTTTTCATATTTTTCGCTGTCATTCAATATGACAGCTTACTCCATAGATTAGCTATTTCACAAACCAAAAAGTTTACAAACTAAATGAAGTGTCACGCACTTTGTTTACATCTATATCATTGTCTGTTGTCAGGATATTCGTGGGAGTGAGTGGCATCTCAATCAGGCGACATATCTATATACATAACTAGCGACCCGCCCCGGCTTCGCACGGGTGCAATATGCATGTATTATACATACAAACCTTCCTTAAGAATCACTCTATCTATTAAAAAAAACCGCATCAAAATCCGTTGCGTAGTTTTAAAGATCTAAGCATACATACGGACATACAGCGAAAGCGACTTTGTTTTATACTATGTATTGATATGCATACAGTAAGTATATAATAATCATGCTGTCGACAGTCTAGATAGTAGCTATGGCTTATTATCATATCATGCAGTGAACGATGATGAATACTTAATTGAATTATGGAATTAATTTGTTAATTGTAGACTACATTGTTGTAAGATTCATGTACCTAGCCAGTAGTGATGCCGCGGAGGACTTCACGGGTTGCCGGGGCTCAGGCTCGAAGGGCAAGAGTAGGAACGGGATGGTTTTTAGATGGACTGCTCCCGCTTGGGTGAGGCGAGAGGGAGTGTCAGACTCTTGACTAAAAACCACCCCGTTCCTACTCCTGCACGTCGAGCCGGAGCCTGTTGAGTCCTCTGCGGTTCCGTATCGGCACCAGCCGTATTTCGAAACTTTCAGTAAAAAGACGAAACCGAAAGATTGTACCAGTTGATGAATAACTTATCGTTTTCAGGAAGTAACTGAGCTACTTTTAGGATGGGCATCGTGCTTATCAATACCTATTCACACTCATTAGTAGACCTTCAAGTAAGCGTGTCTAACTTCCGAATTATGTAGATAATATTATTTATACATATGCGAGTCAGGTTTAGTATCCTTAAAAATCGGGTTTTGCACAAGGACATCACTATGTAGACACCTAGGCACCTACATAGGTATCTATAGAGCTGCAACGGCTGTGGACCACAAAGAATCTTGAGACCCTGTCAAACAGGTCCCGCGAATATGGGCGTGTCTCGCCTCCAAATGAACGTACACCAATCTTCCAATTTTTTTCATTGGATTTTCAACTTTATTTCTATACAATGAAGTTGAGAATCGAATAAAGAAATTTGACAGAAATGGGTAGGTTGATCGGGTTGTCACTGGACTTGTGACTTTGCGATTTAGTCCATTGTGTAAGCTCTAGCTGCGAGAACAAGTTGACCGAACTCTTGTTTTCGTTTGTGAATTCAATTTAGCATCGATTCGTGTAGGTAGGTGGTGTTATGTAGGGTACTAGGGATTAGAAGAATATTACTTTGTTGGACTATATTTATCTCGTAGTCTTAATTGAGAGTTATCAGTCATTGGTGTGTAAAAATTATCTAAACACAGACTAAGAATTTTGTTTTTAATAAACTTTTTAAGGGATCCTTGCTTCTCTCGTCAATCGTCAGATATATTAGTTATTATTTTAATGCCAGTTACAAACAACTATTTTTTATATCTACCGTTGCCCACACTAGGATTTTCTCGTGTGTCGTGGGTGCGTTTACAAACATATAAGTTCACATAAAAACACATGACACCAAGACCCTAAACAACAATTTGTCGATTACGCATAGAATTGCTCTGCGGGAATCGAACCCGCTACACGTTGCGCGTCAGCCAATTGCCCAGCAACAGCGCTGCAGTCAAAATTTACATTCTGTACAATGAGCGGGAAAAGTCAGCTTAAAAAAAGAACGTTCTTAAAATGTCATTGTAATTTTTTTTTGTCATATCTAGAGGAGACATCGTCGCTGTCACAACATCGATATCTCGAGTCATCGATTGTAAACGATTCTCGAAACGATTTGCATACTCACTCGTTATGAATTTTAAACTAGTTTCACGTCAACTGTAGATTCAACGAAAGTGGTTTTTATTTATGTAGATTACGTAATATGATGTGAAGTTAATTTTTTTTATAATAAATTATAATTTAGAGTAGGTAATTATGTATGCGAATTGTGAAGTAATTGGATTATTTTTACTTACTTAGTATTATGAACTTGTTAATTATGTGTAGTGAATGGGATTATCTAGATTTTAGTTTTCTTTTTGCATAAATAGCTGTGTTTGTAGTATGGACGTTGTAGATAATACATCTACGTGTACTTGGACTGAGATAAGCCTTCAAGATTGTTGATAAAAAGAACAAGTGAGAACCTTCCTTCGTTAACGCTTACTTAGTAAGTATGCACTGCAACTGTGTAGTTAGGTATAGATAAGGAACAGCTGATGTAAGAAAATATGCTTCAGATCTGGCCCAGTAGAGAAGGCCACGCACTTAAAATAGAACCATTGGGAAAGACAACAGAAAGAAAATAAAATATGTACCTACTTAGATGAAAAACCGAACCATTATCCCTACCATTTACATCTTTAGGATTTGACACATCAAATCGAGAGCACAACGCTTGAAATGAAAATAGTTAAATAAAAAGGGAAATGGGAAATTGGTCACACAATACATACCTACACTGACCATATAAGGCATCACTTTCGAATAGTGATGTGGAGTAGTTACCACGTACCGATTACCTGTTCCGTATGAGCGGCCGAGTGCGGGATAACGGTGCAAACAACGGACAGCCTGGCAGCCTAGATAAACACGCTCGTAGAATTATTCGCAGCACTATTGTATCGGGATCAAACCTGTTGCACTCTCACCATTGCTACTTCTGTTTAGATTTACAGGGCATGTCAAATGTTGAAGCACCGAAATATTGTATGTAGTTGGTTGATGGCTTTATTTTTGGGCTGACTAAAATGTCGACACTACATTAAAAAATTATGGATATAATGTATTTATTGATTGGTCAACTTGTTTGGCCTAGTTACACTTATAAAATTATCTTAGCTTATAGATACGTCCCGTAACTATTTTATTTGCATTGTTCAAAAGCACAATTTTGTCTCTGCCTCGATGGCCGAGCGGTCGCAAGATTACCGGGCAAGGGGTCTCGGGTTCAAATACCGGGTCGGACAAAGTATTACTGGGCTTTTAAAAAAAATCTCAGTGATAGCACGGAGTCTGGAAATATGCCCGGTATATGGCAATACGCTCACCCCCATATTACATGGGACTCATAACATAAATAGTGAAAAGTGGGTGTTACTTCTGTGTGCACCTCTACCTACCCCTTCGTGGATAAAAGGCGTGATGTTATGTTATGTTCAAAAGCACAAATGTTGTGGTATATCACAACAGAATCATCGCAGCTTATCTATTATACCTACATATGCGTAACGTATATTATGTTTGTGCACCAAATTGCCGGCGACCCATCGACCCGTAGTTCCACTTGCAGAAGGTCTGCGG